AGTAAAGTTACTTAATCGATTCGAATCTAATCGTTCTAAATTACAGTTTTTACCAACTGCTTACACACAAAATATTTTCATGTCCCACGATTTTTGAAACCTCTGACTCAAAGTGCAAAACTTCATGCCAAATCTTCAAAACCATAAGCTATTTCTCAGCCTTTGACTCAGTTTTCAATTGCATAAAACACTTTTTTCAAAACACACTACACACAATTCTCTACCTAAAACACAAAGATCTATCAGGAAGTGACTTGCTTTCCTTTTCCAAACACAACCAATCAAGATGCTACACTTATTCACCAGGTCACACAGACACACTCCTCACACTAATTTCTTAACTGATCACTAACTGCTTTAGTGGGCCTATAAATAGGGACAGCGTGGGGGTAATATAACCATGTGTGCTGCCATCACTCAAAATGGGGTCCTCCATCACAATGCCACACTGGGTCCATACAACACCAGCCATATACTCACTTTTCTGGATGAAATTCACACAATGCTTGTCCCTTATCCAGATCAGATGCCTGCTAGATTTGTGGTTATATGGGACAATGTTAGTTTTCACCGGGCTAGTCTGGTCCAAAACTGGTTTGCCACCCATCCACAATGTGTAGTTTTGTACCTACCCCCATATTCACCTTTTCTAAATCCCATAGAGGAATTCTTCTCAGCCTGGCGCTGGGAACTGTATGATCGCCAACCCTAAGCCAGCATGCCGCTTCTCCAGGCAATGGAGGACGCATGTGGGGACATAGAAGTTGCCAACCTCTCCAAGGTTGGATACGCCATGCTAGGAGATACTTCCCTCGATGTTTGGCAAGAGAAAACGTATCTTGTGATGTGGAAGTATTGTGGCCAGACCCAGCTCGGAGAAGAGATGGAGCTTAGCACTGGGGACTGCGCCCCCTATCCCCCCCTGCCAATTCCACGACCGTTTTGTTGTATGCTAATGTATACAACAGTAATGTTTACAACAATACAATACAATGTATACAACAGTAATGTTTAGCCTAATAATTATTTTCTGTTTCTACATTGCATTGGGGTTTCCGGTGTACTTGTTACCCCTCTCAGCACATCACTTTCACTGTAGAACGTTGTATTGAAATGTAGATATAAGCCTATGAAAGACCAGAGCTTTAGATTTAGAACAGCAGTGTTTACATGGTATATCCCAACATTTATATTATAAATATATTATATATGTATTTATATTTATTTATTTGTGTTATTTATTGACATGTGTTTATGGCATTTTGAATGCAGTGTTGCATTTTGAAGGAGATGTGAGGCATTTTGCAATTTTGTGTGCACACAATTTTGTGTGTGCAGTTTTGAGAATTGTGTGTAGAGTTTTGAAAAAAGGAGACTTAGTTTTGAAAACGTGTGTAAGCAGTTGGTAAAAACTGTAACCCTGTGTGTATGTATGTATGTATGTACATATATATGTTTGTATGTATATATATGTGTATGTATTTATGTACGTATATATGTATGTATGTATATATATATATATATATATGTATGTATGTACACACATATATCACATATATATATATATATGTGTGTATGTATGTATACATATGTATATGTGTGCGCGTGTGTGTGTGTGTGTGTGTGTGTGTGTGTGTGTGTGTGTGTGTGTGTTCACTAACAAGTCTAAAACAAGACACCTGCTTTGCCTTTCAGCTGAAATGCAATCAGCAGTGTTTGAAAGGCACATTCCGTTTTAGATGTGTGGTTCACAGTTTTGACAGCAGTGTGTTAGCATTTGAACAAAGTGCTGTAAATCCACAGTGTTGTGCAGGTTGTGGATAAGTCATTGGATAAGTGTGTAGAGTTTTGAAAACTGTGTTCAAGCAATGAAAAACAAACTAGAGTTTGGTCCACATGAACTGCTGCTGTGCAGACTGTAGTTAGAGTTTTGCACATGTGACTCCAGTTGTGCCCACTGTCGTTTAGCAATCGAAAAACACTGTATTATTGATGTGCTTTGCCAAATATTTTTCTTGACTGAAGTAAAAGATCATTTTCCACAATTTGGAATTTGGAATGTTGTGGCTTGTCATGGATCCGCATAGTTGTCAATGCCTTTTCTAGGCCCACATTGTTTCATGGAAATTGTAGCTATCCATAATAATTAACTTATTAATTACTAATTAATTATTTATTTGCATTTAGTGTGTCCACAAATTGTATCTCCGGTATATAGCCCAACTCTCAACAAGAATTCAATTTTTCTGTGCCTTTTCCAACTCATATTGGCTTGTCTCCAGTTCTGAATCTCCCCCTGCCCAGGGCTTTGTGTCCTAGTCCATAAATGGGGATTAACACCAAATGGAAAGGTCTCTCTGCAGGGAGACAACTATATATATCTATATATAGATATAGCTTCCTCTGTGTACGCTTCTAACATGTTCTTGTGAAATGCATGCTAGCTGTGTCCAGGACCTGGCTTTCAATTCCCATATAAAGCAGCAAAAATAACAACCCAAACCAAGCTAAGCCTCCTTACTTTTTTATTTTTCAGGTCGACAATTCCGAAATAGTGGAGTGGACTTTTTTTTTTAAAGGAGGAGGGCCCAATATTATTCAATTCAAATCAATTCATTTTGTGTAGTCCAATTACATATTACAAATTTGCCTCAAAGGGTTTTACAGTCTACACATGATGTGATCTGTCTTGAATCCTCACATCGGCACAGGAAAAACTCAAAAAATGATAAAACCCTTTTATGGGGAGAAAAAATGAAATAACGTTAGGGAGAACGGCTGAGGAGGATCCCTCTCTCGGGATTATCTGTGTGTATTCTTTCTGGACACATCAGGGCCGTTGCCTGTTTTTTTTAAAGGTCTTTAGAGATCCTTAATGGCCCTCGGTCTAGCAAATACTTCCAAGCTTCCCCAACTATATCATTATTCAGGCAAAATATTGTATTAAGCGTGATAAAAAAAAGAATTACAGCATTTTTGAGAGTGCTGGTTGTATAATTTGGTATCTTGGAAATGTTATTCCTAAAAGCTGCTGCTTCGCTCTGGGTTAATGAGACTTTTGTTTTCGAAGGACATGAAGGCTAAAGAAAGCCAGGAGGTTCGGGTTGTTAATACTAATTTATAATAAAACTAAAGCTTTATTAAGAAGACCACTGGGTTTATTTGTGTTTTTCACATCTTGACAATACAACCACAGTTCTGGGTTTGAAGGTTGCCAGTTGAGAGCAACTCTCTCTCTCTCTCTCTCTCTCTCTCTCTCTCTCTCTCTCTCCCCGTCTCTCTCTCTCTCTCTCTCTCTCTCTCTCTCTCTCTCTCTCTCTCTCTCCCCGTCTCTCTCTCTCTCTCTCTCTCTCTCTCTCTCTCTCTCTCTCTCTCTCTCTCTCTGTCTCTCTCATTGAGGGGAGGAATTCCTTACCATTCGAATACATGTTTGCTGGATAGGGTTACTCTTCGTGTTTATGTGTTAGCTGTATACGGAGGATAACAAAAAAAGATAGACGTAATGTAACGTACGTCGTGCAGTCTCTTTTCACAGCCTCGGGGACGCAGCGGACTGTCGTTCTTATGGAGGCCGAGGCAAGTGGTCAGTGGGTCGGTCACGTTGTCAGAAGCAGTCCTCACATTTTCAGTCCAATAACCAGTTTTACCCTTAAACCAAAAGCTGACCAAGCCGTTCACCCTGCTGGGGTGCACACGAGTGACGTCACAGACTAGGTTAACGGTCACTCATGGACTGACAGCGATTGCTGACGCCTTATTTTTATAGTTACAATTATTATGTTTATTATATATATTATTATTATCATACATCCTTGTTACCACAATAATATGTATTAAAATGAACGCATCAATCACGAAGTCTTAAACGTCCAAACGATAAGCTCAGACCTATTGTATTAATTACTATTGTCTTCAGTCAATAAACAAAAACAGATCATTTGGTCTAATAGCTGCTTTGCACAGTGGAAGCAGCAAAACGATATTCAATCATTGTCTCGACGTCCATTTGAATGCAAAATCAGGCAAAATATCCTGTCTACTTCGTTGTAAACAGATGCTGTGAACTTGTGTATTTTAAAGGAAATTATGCTTTGTCGTTATTTATGGAAATTGTGCTGAAAAAGAATGGCATATGCGTTCGGTAATTCCTTGAGTCTCCTCCGCTGTTCGTCGTGTCTGAGGCGGGCGAGGTGTGTGTGTGTGGGGGGGGGGGGTTCTCCACCACTCAAATAGTTCCGATACCGCAGCTTCCTTTCCGCTCATCGCCACATTATTTCATCAGCTGAGTAGTGCCACTCACGCGCCTCACCTCCATGTGTGTGTGTGTGTGTGTGTGTGTGTGTGTGTGTGTGTGTGTGTGTGTGTGTGTGTGTGTGTGTGTGTGTGAGGGGGGGTGCTTGCTGTCTGTGAGAGAGAGAGAGAAACCCTGTGCTTTTACTTGCAACCAAATGTATTAAAACTCACAAGTCAGTGCTAGTGTCGCTATCTGCAGCCTTTGCAGCTGTAAATGGGCCTTTGGACTAGTGGTTGCTCCATTAGCTCTGGTAGCACGCAAGTTATGCCAAACGAACACACAACCTTGTATGGGTACCCTTGTTAGATACACGCTCAAAGCATTAATATATATATTATTATATATATATATATATATATAATAATATATATATATATATATATATATATATATATATATATATATATATATGTGGTAGATGTAGAATATAAATGTCAGAACCGAGGACAGGACCTTCTTGACCTTGCAGGCTAATTGATGCACATGTGTGCGTGCCCCACACATGTGTGTGTGCGTGTGTTAAGAGAGCCTGTAGGTCTACTTACCAGACCCATTGACATTAAAGAGAAGTAAACAGAGCCTGCAGACGGGGCCAGAGGAGGGGGTAGGGGGCTCGCCATTGGTTGACAGATGCTAGGAAGTCGGTTTCTCCTCCCCGGTAAAAAGATGACGTATCCGACTCTCCCTCTCTCATACAGACGAGCTGGTTCTACCATTGCTCAGTATCTAGCCAGTAGAGACCCTCTGAGGCTGACAGCGGCTCACTGACTCACTGAGAAGGATGACACCCAGTATGTTACAGAGGAAAGGGGGAGCAAAGGGCTGCGCATTGTGAATAAGTCTCTAAAAGAAGAGGAGGGATACAACTGCATGACTTTAGAGGGAAAGAATCATGTCTTAGAGGAGGAGTTGTCTGGACAGAATTGAGCGGCCTCTGTAGACCGGACCAGCCCGGGTTTGGCCTACTGTTGCACGGAATACCGACCGTCACGCGCGCTGTCTCTGTCGGAAGCCGCTCCGCAGATTATTCAAGATGCAAACATCTGGTCTGCAAGGCCGTTAAACCAATCCACTGCTGCATCTTCCGAGAAAGACGTGTTTGTGCGTGCACATCTGATTGCATACAAGAGAGAGAGACGGTGAGTGCGCGCGCGTGTGTGCGTGTGTGTGTGTGTGTGTGTGCGTGTCTCTGTGTTTGCGTGTGTGAACGCGCGCGTGATTGTGTGTCGCCATGAGTCTGGTGTCGGGGTTCCCTCACCACCCGGTCATGCACCACCACGACAGCCACCACTACTCCTTACATGCGGCGGCGGCTGGTCGGTGTCACGAGGACACCGGGGCCCCTCCGTACTTCACGAGCTGGTTGATAAGCCACGCGGATATGTCTCCCACCGAATATAGCCTCGCACCCAGCTACAGCCCAGAGTACCATGGCAACAGTGGCGGCGGGTCCGCCGGCGGCATGGACCCCCACCATCACCATCACCACCATTACGGACCCGGCGGCTTGGTCCCGGGGGCCGGGCCGATCTCGGTGAACGGAACCACGGTCGGCATGCACCCCCACCACACGCACCCTCGGCCCGTGAAGAGGAGACCCACGGCCAACCGGAAGGAGAGGCGGCGGACCCAGAGCATCAACTCGGCCTTTGCGGAACTGAGGGAGTGTATCCCCAACGTGCCGGCCGACACTAAGCTGTCCAAGATCAAGACGCTGAGGCTGGCGACCAGCTACATCTCCTACCTGATGGACATCCTGGACAAGGACGGACAGCAAGGAGACACGCTGGCCTTTAAGGCCGAGCTGAAGAAAACAGAGGCCCGGGAGGAGCGGAGGAAGAGAGAGGCGGTAAGCGCGCGGACCGTGAGCCGCATAAATCACCTCATATAGGAGGCTGCCTGCGACCTGTTAATGGAGACAACGCGTCGTGTTCTCCGGCTTAAACCTTACAGTAAAGCATAAAGCGTACGGAGAGATTCAAAAAGTCACGCTCCTTCACTTCGGCATTCATGCAACATATTTTAGTACTTATTATGCCCATTTTGTCAAATGAAAATGTGAGGAACCAATAGCTTAAACAGTCGAGGGTGTAGCTATATTTTCAGAACCCAAAGTGACGGAGAGATAAACTACCGCTTCATACGAGTGGATTGTAAAATAAACGCATTCATAACTTTTAAAGGTCAACTGTTTTACTTTTATAAATATGCAAAAATACATAAAAACATCTGTCTGGCTGACACAAGTCATGACCGAAATTCATAGTGTTTTTAGGGGGAAGACCATATATTCTTAACTCAAACGAGGCCTATTTCATGTTTCTTAGAGGGGTTCATCTAAAAAAAATGAAGGATAGAAGGTCACAGTTGACCATCCTCTAAATAACTTTGTTCCATAAACTGTTCTGCTAGGCAGCGTCCAACAGAAAACATACATGGAAACCTTTGAAAAGAAACTACAACAATTCCATTGAAAAAAACACACAACAATTTGGGCTGCATGTTGTAGATTGCATACTTCATTATTGGATTTATGGAATGTATTCCATAAATCCACATTTATGGAATACATTCCATAAATCCACATTTAGAATATTTCATCATATAGCCTACATACATTTAGAATATTTCATCATATAGGCCTACATTTAGACATATAATGCACAACATCAAACGTAACAAAGTTACAAAATTACAAAGTCATTACATAATGCTACTTCGTGAATCATAGATGTCAACTGAATATATGTAGGACCCTGAAGGTCGAGGGTCATCGTTGCCTTTGCGGATGATGATCAGGCTGCTGTGTTGAGTCATTCCAGGTACTCGAATGACAGAACCGTCCAACTTTGCTTTAATCTGTTTTTGTTTCTTTGTTTTTATGAAGTGATATTCCTGAGCTATAAATAGTTCTGCTTGATGACACGATAAAGTGAAGCTGCGTTGCGGATCTGAGTTGATCAAGATTCACTAACAAGCCAGGAAAAATTATTAGAATTAGTGGCTGTCATTTATGAAGGAGCAGACGGACTATGAACAATTGTCTCAATTTTACATCTGGTCCGAACCAACAATGCAATCAGATTCAACAAAACCATAAAATGTAAATGAGGAAACCGTTGCCATGAGCTATTTATTTTAATATGTTTATAATGTAATAAATACATGTAATTACCTGTCCGTCTTTATGGATACTGTCGAGCGTGAAAAGACGATTTAGACCCGCCAAACTAGCTTCTTATAAAAATACATGCAATGTTCGGTCATCTTTTACTGAGGGTGGAGGCCAGAGCGTAATGCACCCAGCTAAATAAAAGCTGACAGGTAAACGGGCAACAAAGATGTTTCCTGTCCTCCGGGAATTATGCACACACAATGTCATCTCACAGCCCAATTTATTTGGAAATAAAGCAAATGGGCTGACCACTAAAGAGAGACTAAACCATTGAACGTACGTGTCTTCACCCACTTTTATAACTGACCCATGATGTATTAACCATTGATTAACAAGGTTATGCACATATAGTCCAAATAATCGTCTATGAGAGGAGCCAGAACATTGGTTTCCATCCTCAGACAGCTTGGAGCCAGGAGGGGCCAGGTTCAGCATGTAGACCCTCCATTATTCCCAGCAAACCCTTTTGGATGCTTTCGTCTTACAGCGTGCTACATTATGCATAATCATCTGTGTCCCAGCGCTGCGCTGCCCACCACAGTTGCTAAGGACTTATAGTTTGGCCCAGACATTTAAACCCATTTCAAACACAGTGGAGGAAGTTTCAAATTGCTGTTTTATTTATACTTCAGTCACCTATCCCCTTTATGATCACTGACTAAACGGAATCATTTACACTCACTTTATTTACTATGACATGCAAACAGAACTAAGCACCATGTAATTGATTTTACATGCTTTCACTAGCAGTCGGTTGTTTTGACGCACATTTATCTCATAATAAAAGTCTAACATCAAGCTTTAGTCCAGCAGGGGAACTACAAACAATAATCTTACAGAGCAGGTCAGAAGAAACTAGAAGGGAATCAAACACTATAGTTTTCCCGTCCTGGGAAGTGTGGCAGAATAATTGAAGCCAGAAAGGAATTTTTCCTCACATTTCAAACTGCTAACTCTCTTAGAAGGATATTGTTAATAATTCACTTCAACCCTGCGATAAAACAGCAGTCCTACGTTCTAAAACACTCCCTTGCTGTAACGGAGACACCACAGATAAATATATAACGGTTGCTTCATTTTCTCCTTCATATGAGACATGTCAGACTTAGTTAGATGTGGCTTCAGTCTAAAGTAAGCACTCTGTGCAGCTTATGCTCCTCACTCTGCTCTCACATTAATGATGCAGTGGTTAACCCATGAGAGAATTCAAAGTGCATTCATGAGAGGGCCCTATTTGCGTACAAACAAGGGGGGAATTGAAGTAATAAACTCTCAACTCGGGACTTGTATACGCTGAGATGATATAGTTTTATCAATTTTAAGTCAACAATTTGATACAATTTTTCAATTAAAAATATGTGCCCAATTTAAACATAATTGTTATGTAATTTGATGAGACTGCAGTGCCAAGCATTTGGATTTAGATTCAGACCCATTATCTGATATGATTTGTGAGAGAATATGTTGATCTTATATAATCCTCAGACCTGCATCTTACTATATTACTGAATTGTTGCACCTTTTTGTTGCAATTGGTGAGATGAAAAAACGTTGTATATGTTACGTGTTAGAATGTTCTCATCTGCCTAACTGAAGATATATGGAAATCTAGCCTGACTTCTGTCTGACAAACGATCAACTAAACTGATTCACGAGTGGGCTCATAAGGAACTTCAGAAATCCTTAAATTAAACTTGTGTAAATTATAGTATGTTGACAAATATTTAGTTTTGCTTAAGATGAATGAGAGATTATCAAAAAGGGAATTGTTGGCATACTATATTTGTATCAATATATGTAATATACTTGGCATATATGCTGTAGAAATATGTAGTTAAAACTATGGTTGTGACTTGTAAAATTTTAAAATGTTAGATCTTTATCAAATCGTTATTAATAATGATTAAAATAAAAATAATATATTCTTATAACATTATAAAAGAATAATTCATATTGAATTATAAGTGAATTAATGTGTGGTCACTTTTGACTATTTACTATATTTTTTTTATGTTGTTCTTGTTATTGTCCCTTTTGTTGTTGCTGATTTAAAATGTGCTAAAACATTTACGGCTTGCTCCGATTAAAGCACACAACGTCCTGTTAGATTTTATGACGCATCTGCTGAAATGAAATAGTGTGGTTTTGATGTCCCATCAGACGCCTCCTCTTCGCTAATTAAACATGTTTGGTACCTAACGGCTCTATTAACACACCTGGACCAAAGGGGTAGTTTTGCTAATCAAGTCGACATTTTTGGGTTTGGACCCAAAATGATTAATTTTGGGTTTGGACCCAAAATGTCACAAACATGTTACTTTCTTAAAAGGTATGAGCAACGCATTCAAACGGGTCAGAATAAAAGTAAACGCACCACCGTAGAGAGTAACAAACTACTGGTGCGTTCACGTGTCGGTGGGCCGCCAGCGCAGCTTAACGGTCCGGCCTGAGCAAGGCTGCTGCTCAACGACATTATCCGGTTTCAAATCACATTATAACTCAAGTCAAAGCCTCCGGCTGCTTCACGTGAAACGTGGGCCTCTGTGCTGCCTCAGGTGCACTTTAGTGTTTAGTGAACAGTGGGACCGCTTTACCGTCCGCGTGGTGTTTCATATGTTTATAATAAATTCCCAGACATTCAGCGTGAATAAACGGACCGATTAGGGGTGAATGCATTTCCTAATGTGGAAATGTTTCAGAATAGATATTTTACAATAATAATTTTGCTCATTTCCATCCCCTCCTGTTATTAATGTCTCATCGTTTCCAGTCTTTTTGAATTATCCAGACAACAAATGCACTTGAACCAGGGAGAGTTATTGTTATTATTGTTATCCTATTGTTAATTTTGTAGCTTTTTTTATCTTTATTATGGACTTGTACACTCACTGTGACCTCTCGCGTTCATGTCGGTGGGGATTTGTGGAAAGGGAAATAACTTATTTTAAAACTGCTTACATCGTGAAATAAAAACGAATTATTACGCTATAACTATTACGTTATTATTGTACTTATTATGTTGATATAGGAGTATAGTTAAAGGAAACGACATGTCCTAATGAGTCGGCTCTGAAAATAATATAATATAAACAAATAAAGAGAATACAGCAACAATAATAATTATTACGATGATAATAATAATAATTTTATAAGTTATAGTTATTGCTAATATTATTTTATAGTAATAATTTAATAACAGCAATACTTTCATGTGATATAGTGCTTTTCTAAATACGCTTTACATAGGAACAGGAAAACAGGAAGAACAACAACAGAAAACGAAAAAATGAAAGGGAAACGAGCAAACACAAGAAACAAACAGAAAGTTTGAACATGATCTTCACAACATTACACCCTTTAACGTATTTGACACAGTCGGCGGGAAAATAACAAATGGACCATCAGCCAAATTGGGTGTGTCCCAAATACAATATCATCGGACTAAATCTTCGGACCCATTAGGGTGACATGATACACACACACACACACACACACACACACACACACACACACACACACACACTACTGATCTGTGACTTCATGTCACCAATTCGACGTGCTCTATTGGCAATAGAGTGACCGGTGCACTTTAGCCTATGCCTCATGCATATGCATATATTTATATAACTATTTATTAACTTAATTTCTAAATTCAATGATGAAAGTGAAACCATTTCCTTTGGGGATGAAATCTCTAGCGCGATGTTATGTACAATGGAGCCATTGATCTGAAGAGCAGGGCCGAGTTTCTGCCGATGGCAACTCCGCGGCAGCGAGCTGGGTGGGCGGAGCCACATTTTGCGCGAACGGCCGCTGTTTGTACGACAGGTCAGCTGCCGTAAATCAGTTTCATGTTTTTAGTTTAGACACCTGAGCCACTCTTAGAGTATCCACGGTGTATTTTTTGTTTCTCATTCATTAAATTTAAGTTTGATTTTGCTGGTTTTGCAACAAAAGGGATCATAATACACTATTTCCATACAATTACTTTTTTAGTGATTTGCAAAAAAATACTGAAAATAAATCACCCATTTAATCATAATTTAGAAGCATATTTATAACTCTGCTTATATGTAGGTGTCAATATGTATAGTAGTCATTACTTACTTACTGCTTGCACACCCCTTATACTACTACTACTACTACTATACATACTATGTATAAGCAGAGGAAGAGTGAAGATATTTTCCAACATATATTTGTGGTTTGGACTTTTCATGGATTTTAACTTTAAAACGTTTTTATTAATATATTTTTATGATAATTAAATGAATGATTTATTCTTAGTATTTTATCCGATTGTTGTATATGACGTAAATAAACAGAATGTATTTGTGATCCCTTCTGTTGCAAAACCAGCAAAATCCAACTTAAATGAAATGAGAATGAAAAACAAAAAGGAAAGGAAAGTCAACGGGTGGCTCAGGTGTCTAAACTAAAATCGTACAACTGATTTACGGCAGCTGACCTGTCGTACAAAGAACAGCCTTTCTCTGAAAACAGCCGTTCTCTGAAAATGTGGCTCCGTCCACTCAGCTCGCTGAGTTGGACGGACATCTCTCGATTTGAGCATAATATGAATAACAAGCATCATGTGTCTGCAGGTGGAGATCCCGAAGACAACGTTGTCATCATCCTCCTCGTCATCCTCCTCGTCGGCGAGCGATAAGAAGAGTAAAGGCCGTACGGGTTGGCCTCAACATGTCTGGGCTCTGGAACTCAAACAGTAGCGCCTCCCTCCCCCAGAAGCCTTTACCTTCTCTAGCTAAGTCCTCGAGGGGAATGATGGGACATCAATGAGCCGCCCGACTGACTGGTGGCACCCATCGTGATCTCTGTGGACCTCGAGGCTGCTGACTTCCCACACAGCGGTGGACGCGATGGTGGTTGTAGCCTTCAGCTCCTTTCCGTTCTGCTATTGCAAGGCACAAGGAAAGTGATTCGTTGGAGTTCTTCATAGAACTTCATTTCAGATGTATGACACACACACTACTTTCATCAGCAAAGGCGCTTTCTGCAGGTTTGCTCTCTACAAGGGTTTGACTCTGAATTTGGATTTAATCCTTCCATTTGACCCCACGATAGTAACCCAGAAGCAAAAATGGTTAATTTTATCTTAGATACATACAAATAGAATTGTCAGTATGGTAAATTCACATTCTAGATGGAAATGATCGATCATCATGGCCATGTAATGTCAGTGGGAACTCGGGATAGATCTAAAATAGGCTATGCCATCCATAGGGCTGCAGGGGATGAAGATGTGAACATTACACATCATTTATACATTTGAGCAAGTAAATCATAGGATCCTCTGTGACACTCTTCCAGCTTACCAAGCGTTGATAACGTATTTGGAGGTAATGGATGCTTTTGAGTAATGTCATGTGGAATTAGAGTGGTCTTTTAAAAACTGGGGCTACAACAGAGAAGCTTCATACAGCGCAGTGCAGCGGAGCCCGTCTTCCTGGAATCATTCCTCATTCTCTCCTTCACCCTCACACACACGCACGCACACACACACACACACACACACACACACACACACACAGGCGTGCGCGATGTTGACGTGATCCTTGCTTTATTTAACGGAATATATTTATGTGCAATGTGGCCATTTAGAAGGACCCGAATCGGTCTATGAATGTCATTATGACATTTACTGGCCTTTGATTAAGCCGACAAGGTGTATGTGAAGTTCTCTCCCTCTCTCTCTCTCTCTCTCTCTCTCTCTCTCTCTCTCTCTCTCTGTCACACACACACACACAAACACACACACAAACACACAAACAGACACACTAACTCTCACTCTCTCTCTTTTCCCTCCCTACAATTTACAGTTGTAAATGTAATGATGTCACAATGGTGACGAAGTGTAGATGTTGTGTTGTGTGTAGACAGTGCTTTATGTGGGCTGTAATCAGCGTCATGAATTTAATAAAACCCCTGGTTACATGGTAACTGAAGCAAACTGTACTAATGTCTTCATTTCAGTTTTTATTTGGAAAAGCTTTTGTGTCATGACAAAAAGTGAGCCTAGGTTTAGTATAGCATTTTTGGATAGGCACAGCAGACAATAATTCACTTCACATAACTGTATATGATATACATATATATATAATATAATATAATAGCCTTTAAATATGTTTAGTCATATAAGATGATATTTTAGGAAAAACTGTAAATTTATTTTACTACATTTTTTATGGCCACCTCCTTTTCTTGGTTCATTTAAAAAACTTTCTGGACAATTTCAGTTTTGGTTATAGAAAAAATGAAATTCAACTGTTTAATATAATTCCCTTAATATTTACTTTCTTATGTAAAAATTGTTTATCTCAACCGACCGCATCAAAAATAAGAAGTTGAGTCCAAGTACCATCTGTCTTGTAACATTTGAATTACAAGTATGGCTTTAACAGGCTAGCGTTTTTCAAAATCAAATCTTTATTTGGATCTTGCAGACTCCACATTTTCACATTTCTCATAGTTGGGATGCATACAGCATTACATCAGACATTTAATTCATTTTACCATTGAAGTAAGCAGTTTAGATGTCTCGCTGGCAAAACTCTTATGCTAAAGCTTCTGTTTCATGTTGGAGTGTTTTTCTAACAACTCTTGATGTGAAAAAACAAAAAGAAAATAGTCAAAAAAATAAACAATGTATTGATCTTATCTTTAAAACAGTACCTACAAATTATATTTAAAGGTGACAGGGATATATACACAGGCAGGTCTGGTATTTTCATAAATAAAGCGCGACAAATGGGAAAACACATTCCATTGATTTTGCATTGAGTGACGGCGAGTGGTGACGAGCACTGCCAAGTTATAGAAGTATAGAAAGACTCCACAACTATGTTAAATAAATAAATGAAATAATTTGAACATTACACTTTTTGCCTCAATGATTTCTGCGGACTTTGTTACTCTATGTTATGAGTGTGTGTGATTTTAACTTAACTAACTAGCTACTACATTCGCTACAAGTGCAACATTTCCCACGTCAATAGTGAGCAACAAACAACTCACCCGATTCAAATAACTATCAAAAATTAGCGACTAGATGGAATACTCACGCTTGCTTTGGATTTTGCACCTGATATAAAAACACAGGTCTTAATTGGGAGAAAGTTCTGTGTTTGTTTAAATTATGTTTAATGTTAAGTAACCCTTTAACATTTTGAACACCAACATTTTTAGCTGCAGGCATTTGGTTAGCGTGTCGGCCCTTGGTTGCATATTGTGGATTAGGGTTTTATGTTTGGTTTTGATTTCCGATAGAAAATCTTGCCACATTCTAAATAAAGCTATAATAACAAACAGAAGCAATCTATTTCGGCCTGTTGTAAAGGGCCGTTTTGTTTTTGGCAACAACTCACAAACTTGTACTGATCAAACCCAAAACAAATAAACTGTAGATTTGTCATGTTGACAGCTGACACACAAACACAAATTTAACAAAACATAAAGAGCATCTATGACATGCTTCACATTGCCACGGTATCTGATGGAGCTGTCACTCACTTATCGTTTGATAAGGCCTTATCTGGCATCCCAGTCGGTATGTCATTAGTGGGAGACTGGGGAAAGAGATCTTGAGAGGATATTTCTTGTCTTGACAAGGACTAACGGGAGATTTAATGGCCTGAGTCTGGCCTCAGGTGAAGACAGGAGAAAAGATCATTAGCGAGAGAGCTGGCTTCAGATAGAGTTCACTATTCAAAGGCCGGGACACAGACACATACATACATACACAGCAGGTCCATTCTGAGGAGCCGTTGTTTTGGAGCAATGGAGCAGGTGAATTTACAGTTGATATATGGTCATTATTTTCTACTACAAACTACGGCTCAAAATCAAATTCTAATTCTTTTCACGGAAACCAGTGAAATGAAACCTACTCTTTTCTTCTGTGCTTGACATCCAATGACCAAGGAAGCTTATAAAAACATAAACATACTGACTCAACATGCTTCAGTGAAGTAACAAGAAGAAAGCAAAGTTGCAACAGGAAAAAAAGGCTCCAATCAACATTATAAAAAAAACACCAGGGTACATATATTAATGTTTAGTGAAATTAAAGTTGAGCAAAATGAGAAAAAGCACTGTCCAAGATACTGTAGTTAGTGTTGGGGAAGGAATAAATACTTAATCACAAACAAGTTTATGATACTTTTGATTTCTCACAAGGGCTAAATCCCTAATTTCCACCACAGTTGGCTTTTTTTTCATTACCGTTACTGTTTCTTTACAGCCTAAATAAGGGTCTATGCTGATTGAAGTTAAAGCACTCTGCAGGAGACCCCCATATGTTTGCACCGTTAACCCCTCATCTTCATACTCATTGTCTTTCGCTCAAAGGCCTGTGATTGTGAAGATCCCAGTGCTCCTCGACCTACCTGGATAGCTGATTGTGGCGGCCTGTGGTTGGCTTTCAGCTGTGGGGTAAACGGGAGGGGAGTGGTTCAGGGAACAGTACCGGGAAGAGGCTTCATGAGTCTCACCTAGTGGCTCTCTGATGATGGTCTTCTCTCCCTATATGTTACGACTTTGGGAAAATGGTGGAGACAGACAGGGTGCTGCTTACCTGGAGAGTGTATGTATCTCGGGGGAACACTCTGACTGGTGCACCATCGGTATTGGGCTCGGCGAACCCACGTGTGACGCAGAACCTGTTACACGTCAATACACCTTCATCAGTGTAACAGTTACACGGATGAACCTCTCCAAGCCCATGTTGGTAGTGATGTGCAAACAATGAAAAACAGTATAGCATGCAGGTGCATAAAATGATCCATTTTACAGTAGAGCACAGAAGTACGGAGCTGCCAGGGGCTAGTCAATCTGTCTCCAAGTCAAAGTTCACTTCATAAGTCACCTTTCAGAGACCATCTTTCCTTTGCAGACAAAATCGCAGTCCAGACGGACTGCATTTTTTCCTCTCCATCTTTTCCCCATGCACCTCATCCTACAAATGAAGGAACATTATACAAAAAATAAGGATCATTTTCTGAGCTAAATCACAGTAGAGGAACTTGCCCCTCTGTCTCCAATTTCAAATGTGACCATGATTGCTTCAGTCTTCAGAAAAAAAGATTTTATGTGTGACAACTCTGTCAATTGTAACAATGAATGTGCCTATTTTTATGTGCACAATACAATACTATTCATAGAGAGAATAATAAGACTGGGTCAACAAAGAAACAGAACAACACAAATTTGGGGCAATACTTTACTTATAGCATGTGATTTATTTTTGGAACCCAAATTTAAAAAAAACTAACTTTCAAGTGGCACCAAAAATTCCAATATTAATTAAATTTGATATAATTCCGTTTTCTCTTTTTCCTGTATATCGAACCATCAAGTATTTTAAGGGAAAAATACATTATATGGGTTTAAATTTTAATATATACATATATATATTTTTAAATAATTAATACAATTCCCTAATATAAATAACAATAGGTCAACAACATTCCATGAACTCAAACAACTATGTTTTGCAGTAGTATTCAACAGCACATACCAATATCTAGGTTCATATTTACATACCTCCACCAAGCACCACACACACATCTAACCATACACACAGCTCTCTTTGTGTCTCCTATCTTTCTATAGGCCGCCCTCTAAGTGCAGTCGACTGGCAAACATGATAGATGACTGCGGCTGGAATAGAATTTTTCCCTGCGATACCAAAACATCTGGCAGCCATTACTTCAAGCAGACCCCTCCCTCGTTCGCTCGCTCACCCCTCCTCCACCCCGTCCTCCTTTTCCACCTCCCTTTACTTTTGTGCTGTTGTGTTTCCCTTCCACTAGGAGGCCACATTTCTACAAAGTGATCCAGATGGGTTTTTTTCGTCTTGGTTTTTTTGAAGGTCCAATTGACCCTTAATGGAAAGATATAGGTGATGCTGAAGCAGCGACTGACTCTTAAATATAGAGAAATGTGCATCAGCGACAACAGACAGTGTACTTGTGTCTACACAGGGAATCTCTGCAGGCTTCTTTTCACTGGTTGTTTGGTGACTATAGTGGTGCATTGCACTCTAATAGTGAAAACAACAATACAACAACAAATAATCGGGAGAAGGGAGCACATACAGCAATTAGTAAAGCATGTGATGGTGTTTCAATGTGAAAAGGCAGATTGTTTAGGGTAGATTGGAAAATACTGAGGAGTCTGGGAAGGAGGAGAAAAGAAAGGAGTAAAAAAAAGGGTGGACCCTTGGCAGCCTTTGAAAAAAATCCCCCAGGTCACACTATGTACCCTATAACAGCTATGACGCATCACTTTACGCACACACACACACACACACACACACACACATATGCAGGCCTGACTCACACCACGGATAGACAGATCGGGCTTTCCTTCAAAAGAGACTATAACAGAATGTGCTTTTTTCTTTTGTAATCAGCCCTTTCCATGAGGGGAAGTATTGGATTCATTAGCGGCCAAACCAAAGACAGACAGACCATTGTTCACATTTTATAGATTATAAAGAGAAAAAAGAGGAAAAGAGAGAAAAAAACTCAATCCGCAGAATTATATGGTTTCTTACCATATGGAGCCTTCTTTCAATTTGCCCTGTGGAGAGCAATCAACACCACCGCACGTCTCCAGCTACTGAGGTACATTGCCTGGGACACAACATGGATCAACATTGCTTTTTCCAGCACAGTAATAACACAAGACACATAGTTATTCTTCACTGTTGTTTGTATGTGGTGCATCATTCATTTATTTTGAAATGATCTTTAAGTTTCCAGGATAGAAAAACGCAAACATTAATGAACTGGCAGTCAAGAAAAGAATCCAAACATCCAGGTTCATTCTACCTGAATATTTTTTCTCTTTGCTCTTCATCCAATACCCTCTCAATTTGGGCCTCTACGTCGCACCAGTTTGGCTAGTTGACCAATTTTGGCCCTCTCTATGATTGAGTTTGACACCCTTATA